TTCCTTTTTCTTCCCCCCGGCGTTCTCGAGTTCGGGTGCGCCGCGGTCCGCTGCCGCTGCCCCGGCCGGGGGGGGCGGGCCCCGAGTGTCTCCCCCACTCAAGGACCTTCTCTTCTTCGCGTTCCTTGATGTTCAGCATTAAGAGTGACTCACATATCTGCTAAACATTCGAAGAGTCCTTCAGTCATCAACTTATGGGTAGATATTTTCACACTGGGTGTGATTGTCAATCTATACTACTCAAAGCACAACAACCATCTATCAAGGTCTTGTTGTTGGAAGCTCCATTGGCTGAAACATAGAAGTGTATATAAAATGTAGACAATGGTCTTTGCTGTTATGTGGATATGAAAGTGAACGATGATGAGAAGAGGTACATATATATAATGCAGACACTGAGAAGAAGACAGTCATGGCACGATCAGAGATTTTAACACTGTATTACCTATTGTTCTATGGTGAGTTGTGAGGTAAACACAATGCCTAGGCAGCCACAAAACCTTATTCGTTCTCTGGATATTTGTGTTCATTTGTCCTTGTCCCAAGGAAGCACTAAACAGAATGACAATATGATACATGCTCTCCATAGATCAACTCTTGATCAAGAGCAATCGAGAGTAAACATAACTTTTCAGCACCGCTCTCCCCAACATCATCATACACCCAGCCGGCACCTTCCTACAACCTGGAGTCAACGTTCATAGCATCATAGCTCTTCCTCAAGGACATCAACAGGCCCTGCTTGTGCTGCATATATCTGACTAGAAGAAGGAAGGAGCGAGATCATCCAGCAGGATCTTAACCACCTTCTGAAAGTCTATTGAGCCCTATATCCACGCCGAAATGGCCAAACATGTCAACAAAAAACAAAAGACAAAGTATGATAGCTATGAGATGGCTCTCCTATCAAGACAGCAACCATTGGCAGAATTAAGCCCCAACCCATGTAACCACGCACCGTCCATCAAGGCATACAACAACCCGATATGGGAGAACGCTCGCATGGACTTCACAAACCGCCATCCGGTCCCGGGGCCAACATACGGCTCAGGAAACTACGGATGTCCAGAATACTACCATTCACTTCCGATATCACGCGACCCGCGCTCGCGTCCGTTCTTCGCATTCGCTAACAGCAAACCGACGCCGCCCCCACACAGCTTCAGCCCCAAAAGTTCCACTGCCAGCGTTGAGGGGTACACAGAGACGATGCGGAGTGAACGAGAGCAGAATTTACAGGCGTTTGTGGATACACACACGGCTTCCATTTACTGTAGTTCGATGATCACCGAGGACGCATGGTCTTTCAACGACGATGACGGTGAAGGCGATGACAACAGTGAGAACAACGAGGATCACGATAACAACCATGGCAGTGCCACAAACGGTGACAATCATGGCGATACCGAAGATCACGGCAACGATAACAATAGCGGCAAGGATAGTCCGCAAGGCTCGACCGTCGTAGCTCACAACAACAAGATCCCCGAGAAAAAGCAACAACCCTTTCCCAAGCGCGTGAAGACCCGATTCACCACAAAAATAAACGCCCTGAAAGCCGAGTTGGAAGACAAATGGGAACGCGTCCAATCCCTGTTCATACCAACAACAGACACCGTGCAATCCGCCATGAAAGCCGAGTTCAAGCGCGTCGAAACCGTCCACGCCGCGCGGCGGAAACAGCTCGCTTTCTGGGCCGAGGGGGTGAACTACCGTCTCAAGCTGAGACGACAGACGCTAGCCATCTACGTTCGCCTCTATCTGCGTCTCATCTTCGCTCGCTCGAAACCCGTCTTGCTCAAGGCTTTAGCCGCCTTGGTACTAGTCACGATGATTTCGCAGGTGGTGCCGTGGTTATTCCCGGGCTGGTTCGACGACGATGACGAAGATATGTTTAATGGCGAGATCGCGTACTATCTCGTTGACGAGTTCGGGAGGTGGTCTGTTGCGAGCTAGTTGGGGTTCTTTTTCTTTTTCCTTTTTCCCTTCCTTCACTTTCGTGCGGCCTGGCGTTATTGAGGTTTGTATCGCTCTTGGACAACGAGAGTGGTTCTTTGCTGGCAGCTTTTCAAGGTATGAAAATAGATGTATGGACTTCATGGGCGTCGGTGCGAGAGCTGTAATGCTGGGAAGATCCTGCCTGGTGGTAAGACTCGGAAATAAGTACAGTATTCGTGGTGAGAATATACTTGTGGTTTCCTTTGTGTAAAGGCAAGTTCAGAGCAGGGGAGTTGTCGAGAATAGATTCCTCTGCACACCTGGCCGATAATGAACATGGTTTACAACTGTTAATACAGATCAGTAATGGCTTAATAAAAACGTGGTCGAGAACACCGCCGGGTCAGGCTTGCCCCTATCTTAGTGATCACCCGTGCAGAAAGCAATCTAAAATCAATTTGGAGATAGCCAAATGACATAAGCATGGATGTAGGAAATATAATTCATTGAAACGGATTCAGGACGAGACATGAGTATAATGCATGTATATGAGAGAGAAAAAAGTCCGTGGCCGCCCATTCTGTCTATTCATTAACCCCTCCCTTAATGCACACGTCAGATATTTTCTCCTGACGAAGTTAGTACAGCGAAGCCAACCAGTGTCTATGCCGTCCTTTAAATACCCAAGCTGAATTCAACACCGACATCAATGTCACGAGCTAAAAGTTATGGAACGTTAGTCGCTGTTGACTCATATAGATAATCCCAGATTAGGATAGATAAGACTTACCCATCTTTACAACCTTAGACAGTTGTACCGACCTCTCAGCAGCGCTCTGCAGGTCATCGATCGAGAAGATCTTCATTCCGGATTCGTTGATCAACTCGTGAGCCTGCTCCATGTTCGTTCCCTGGAGTCGGGCAATAATAGGAACCTTGAGGTTCAAGGTCTTGGCAGTGTTGATGAGACCATGAGCAATGGCGTCACATCGCACAATACCACCGAAGATGTTGACAAAAATAGCTGTCACCTTGGGGTCGCTAGTGATGAGCTCGAAAGCCTCCTTGATGGCGGCGGGGGTGGCACCACCACCAACATCAAGGAAGTTAGCAGGCTGACCGCCGTTTAGTTTGATGATGTCCATTGTAGCCATGGCAAGACCAGCGCCGTTAACCAGGCAGCCAATGTCACCATCGAGCTTGATGAAGTTCAATCCCGATTCAGCGGCGCGGACCTCCTCTGGGTCCTCTTGAGTGGTGTCACGCCATTGGAAGACCTCCTTTTGCCGGTAGTCGGCGTTGTCATCGAAACCAAATTTGGCGTCCATGCATAGGACCTGGTGGTCAGAGGTCTCAGAGAGGGGGTTGATCTCGATCTGGGTGGCGTCCTTCTCGAGGAAGATCTTGTAGAGCTTCTGGATGGTGTCCTTAGCATCTTCGATGCACTGCTCGCTGAAGCCAAGCTTAGTAGCAATATCCCGGGCAATCTCGTCAGTGACACCCTTGTTGATATCGATGTTTGTGGTAATGATGGCGGCGGGGTTTTCTTTCGCGACAGTCTCGATATCCATACCACCTTGGGACGAGGAGACGATGACGGGCCCTTGGGAGGCACGGTCCATTAGGATGGCAAGGTAGAACTCGCGACGAGCGAACTTGCGCTCGCAGATATAGACGGAGTTGCAGAGGCGGCCAGCCGCACCAGTCTGCTTGGTAATGAGCTTGTGACCAATCATCTGCTCAGCGAACATCTTTGCCTCAGTAGGCGAGTAAATGACGCGAACACCGCCCTTCAAGCCGTTGTCGAAACTACCCTTTCCACGACCACCAGCAAGAACCTGGGCTTTGATGACCATGTCTTCGCCTCCTATCTCCTTTGCAATCTTCTCGGCTTCAGCGGCGCTTGTAGCATTAGATCCCTTGGGGACTCCGACGCCATACTAGAATGACCTGTCAGGGGGTACGGTTCTGCTCGGTTTGGGGGTAAGTGTTTCTACCTGTCGCAGGAGGTCGGCTGAGCGAAATTCGTGGATGCTCAAGTTTCTCTGTTGTTGAGCGATGCCGGGTATCCTGGAAGGAGCAAAAGCATTCTATGCACACAAGATGTAATGTTAACCCATGTCCTATGATTGGCAGCGCCACCGTCGCCTTGATATCGAAAGCGCAAACATGTTGAGCTTACCTTGGAGGAGCGCAGGGCAGAAGCCGCAGCCCGGCTACGCGCAAGATTGAACATTTTGGCGGCAACGGATCGTAGAGAAGAGAAAAAAAGGAGTTTGGGGGAACCACTGGCAGCCAATCGAAGACAAACGGGAGTGTCGTTGTTCTGGTGAGGAATACTAAGTATGTATCTAGCTGGTGATACGTAGTTCAAAAAAAGGTTGATACCATCACCAGGCTAGTTTGCATGTACCTAGGTAGAGCCACGGTTCTGCCATACCTACCTGTCTCGCCTGTGACGACGGCTGGTCTCGGTGATACACGGGAAAACACGGTACAAGCTGGGTGCGGGATACTGTATTGCACTGTATCCACCTCAGTCAGACTCAGTTTCTAGTTTTCCCCCTCCACCTCACCCTCCCCTCCCTCTGATAGGACAATTCATCATGGAGTAAAATCTCGATTGTTACAGTTCGAACCTCTCGCTCTCCGCGGGCCGCCTGAAAGCTACCTTTACATTATGTCATAGGTATAGGTATGAAGGTTGTCTATTTACTGCCTGATGGTTACTTCGTATATCCAGAGGGGCACCCCTCAAACACACATGTGCTCTTCTCGTAATTGAAACGAATTAGCTTCTGGATGCTATCCGAATGTTACTCAAGTACCACACCGCCTACATAAGAATTATCTATATAGTGTCTCAATCTGCTCGTCGAGATCATTAGGTGATCAGATAACGTGAAATCAGAGCCTGGGCAGACCTGGGGTAGTGCATCCTCGAACAACTACCAAGACCCCTGTTACCCTGCTAGGCCCTAGTTTTCAGGCAGCGACTTATTATATATATATGGTAAGGAGATACCTTTGGATATCTCTCTAATTCTCCAGTGATTCGTCCTCGTCGGCACTTATATACATCCTTTTGATATCGCAGTAGGGACATACCAAAGCCATGATCTCAAGTATCAACTTCGGCAACGGCGGCACAGGCGGGTGGTGGACCTATGTGCTCCTAGCTGTGGTGCTCTTCATCACCTACCACCTAGCAGTAGCAGTGGGGAGGCATTTCGCTATTCGCAAGCTAGGTGGAGGACGAGCCTATCTCTTAGCCAATAATCCTGTGTCCGGTATGGCCTGCAAATGACCTCTCCAATGCCGCCACTGTAGCTAAGAATAGAGTAGGAACATACCGGATCGTGCGGATGATGTCGAAATTCGCCCAGAACAAGACCGCAGAGCTTAATGATGAGATATACAACTCACTGCCGCCAGAAAGCCGCAATGTGTATGAATTCCAGTTTTTCCCGGGGTCCAGGACGATCGAGACAAGAGAACCAGCGCATATCAAGGCCATCCTGGCTACAGATTTCTACTCGTTTGGAAAGGGGCCCAACTTTCACAGGATGTGGTATCCGTTTCTAGGTGACAGCATTTTTGCTACAGATGGAAAGCTGTGGCATAATAGCCGTAGCCTCATCCGACCAATGTTCATGACTGATCGAGTGAGCGATTTGATAATCTTTGAGCGTCAGATAGAGAAGATGATGAAATACATTCCTCCTTCGGGTCAGACTGTCGAAATGATGGATCTATTCTTCCGCATGACAATGGATGTAACTACTGATTTTCTCCTCGGAGAAAGCGCCAACAGCTTGGATAAGTAAGTCTTACTTCATTTTGTATACCCTTAGAAAAACCCAAAGGCTGATGACTGCTAGCCCAAATTCTGAGTTTACTCATGCCTTCAACGACGTCCTCGTACGGCAGATCCGTATTCTTATGCTCCGATTATTTAGGTAAAGATAGGACACTTCAACAACTCACAAAGTTGGTGTTTGCAACTGTAGCTAACCAAACAATAGCCCATTCAACAAGCTCTTCTCTAAAAAAGAGTACTATCGCGACATCAAGATAATCGATCAGTTCATCATGCCCTACATTAAACAGACGCTCGCAATCCCGCCAGATGAGCTGGAGAAGCTCACCAAGTCAGATGTCGAATTTACGTTCCTACATAATCTAGCACGTTTTACTCGCGATCCTAAGGTCATCCGTGATCAACTTATCGCCGTTCTCTTAGCTGGCAGAGACACTACGGCCGGGACGTTGTCGTGGGTTTTCTATGAGCTTGCTGCTTACCCTGAAAAGGTTGATAGGCTCCGTGCCGAGATCTTGGAATTTGTAGGAGAAAGTGGCACGCCGACTTACGAAACACTGAAGAACATGAAATATCTTCGCTACATACTCCAAGAGACACTTCGTATTCATCCCGCGGTTCCTTCGAATGGTAAGCTTCTCACATCACAAATCGGATCTCCTTACTGTGAACCAGATACTAATTATCTCTCTAGTATGTAAAGTATCCAAGTCTCTTCGAAAATCAGAACATTTCAGCCCACCTTCTGAACTGAATAACGAGAAAGGATCGGCCCGCTAACATCCAACAGATAAAGGAAGCACTCGCAGACACTGTCTTGCCCGGTGCTCCCGGCACCCCAAGTATTAGCGTCCTCAAAGGCGATACCGTTTGTTATAGTCCGATGACACTCCACGGACGACGCGACCTTTATCCACCTGTGTCTGAGCAGTTTGCGGATCCCTCTCTTTTCAGTCCTGAGCGCTGGTACGTCTGGCAGCCCAGACCCTGGGAATACATTCCATTCAATGGCGGGCCTCGAATTGTAAGTTTGGTTTCTTATATGTATAGAAACCCCGGCGTCCATACTCAGAAGTGAACGCTAATCGAGCTGTGATGCCCAACAGTGCCCCGGCCAGAACTTTGCCATGACAGAGATGGCGTACTGCCGTAAGTTGCCAACGACGATTGTCAATAGTAATAAATGACTTCTTGAGACGCTAATAAACGAGGATCGTAGTCGTCAAAATCTTCCAGAAATACGAGAGGATCGAATATCGTGGGGATTGGCATGGGCAGCAAGATACAAGGGCCATCATCTCCCGGCCTACTTTTGGAGTGCCCGTAGCGTTCTATGAGGCCAAGAAGGAATGATACGGAATAGGCACAAAACGAGGTGCTACCAACAGCCTAAACTTAATACTTAATAATATCATGATTTCATTTAGTTACAGAACGGGAGGGCTAGGTAAGAAATTGAAATACCTACTACCTACTATTAACATGGGATGTTCGACGTCAATCTCATGCCTTATGACTATACACCATGTATGCATATATAAGATTGTCAAAGTGCTGGCTGTCAGCGATAAGCATGTGAAAACATGATGCAGTCTTATCGTACCCAGTTAATTTTCCAAGAGCTCCTTGGAGCTCAACAACCCATGCTTGCGCAAAGGCACACTACGCAAAGCTTCACACATTTTTCCTTAAGGCAGTAATGAATATCATGTGTTCTCCATACATACAATAGCTGTAGCAGCCCCTCCTCTCAATCGCACACTTCATCCCAACATCGCGACCCTCGGCGCAAGCAGCAAAGAGCCCAACCAACAACATGGCGCCCTCCACAAAGGGGACAAACCCCGCGCCCAACTACACCGTAGCAATGAATCAAGTACAAACACAGATCGAAGCCCAGCTACGCATAGTGCGCTCCTTCATGCCCTCGCGAGCGCCGCCGCCCAACGCGCAAACCGCAACTACAAAGCCCACTCCATCCTTCTCCGCGCTCGCAACCAGCACATCCAAACCGTCCCTCCTTCCGCGCCAGCGCGCCCCAAAACAAGACGCAGAAAGTCTATTCGCCGAGACGCGCGCGCAGGACCCGAACGCAGGCCTCGGGTTCGGGCAATCTTCGAAACGCGCAGCCGAGCGCGAGAAAGAGCGCGAGAACCAGATCCTGCGCTCGCGCCTCCTAGGCCGGAAGCGCGGGGCAGCACCCGACGCATCAGGCAGGACGCGGCACCATGGCGAGAGCAGCGACGAGGAGCCTGGGCGGAGCGGATTAGGACGAGCCAAGAAGCGGGCTCGAAGGGAGGAATCGCGAGAAGAAGGGGAAGAAGGCATTGGACCGGAGCTCGAGCTGGAAAAGGCCGGCGCAAAGCAGGTAGGAGAGGACAGTGCAGCGAATGACGAGGAAGAGACTGGGGATGTAAATATGAAGACTGGCGTCTCAGATCCGGCACCGGATGGCGCAGAAGGCGCCCCGGCCGAAGGGGCGAAGAAGCGGAAACGGAAAAAGAAGAATAAGAAGAGGAAAAAGGAGAAATCTGAAGAGGCAACGGCCGAATAGCATGCTACTAAGCCATTGTTTCGTCTGACGGGAGCGTCACCGCTAACAATGTGCCCCTGAATTCACTTGGTTATGAAAGTGAATACATAAATCAGCAAAGACAAAGCTTCCGATCTCATCTTAAATCGCCATTCCAACCCAGCTCACTAATATCACCTCATCATCGACATCACCATCATCACGATAAAATATCCAGTTATCTGCTTCTTGTTTTCATTTTTATCTAGATGAGTATTAAATCAGCCTAGCGAGTCAACGTCCATTGACCGCTGAGACCTTCGTTCGCGTGGAAAACGAAGCAGCTAAAATGCTTTTTTCGTTCCATTTTTTCGAGGTATCCATGTAAATTTTCTTCGCGGAGATGGGAATCAAGATAAAAGCAAGACGAAACCTCCTAGTAATGATACATTCCCCGTAGAGGAACAACTTCAGAAAGTAGAAAAAAAAAAACCCCCCCAAGCAACCAGAATTGTAAAGAGCAGACGGAGAAACTCGGTCCCCGCCATGCTCCCCAACGTACCAGTCGCGTCCCCCACTTCAGCAATGAAAATAGCCCAATCCCAACTCTATGATAGTTCAAAAAAGGGACATCGTTGACTGTTCTTTTCTGTCCATGCAAATGATAGAATGTCGGAAATGTTAAACAGCATCACGGCATGCGCGCCAAAAGAAACAAACGGATAAAACAGTATACGTTATTGCACGGCAGCGCTGCAGCGTTACGGGCATCCTAAAAGACTCGCTATTCCATCCCTACACCGCTAGTATGCAAGCAAAGAGCTGATCCTCCCCATTGTGTTTGATATCCAGGGCAAGGACTAGATGTGTCAAAAGAAATAAAACTTATTTAAATCCAACGCAGGCTTCATGATACCAATTATTGCATTCGCTTACGCTTGCGGTCGTCATCCCCTCTTGGGTCATCCTCATTTTCTCGTTCGGCTGTATCCGTGGGATTTAGGATATGAGCCATACTTCCTCGCCGTGTAGGCGGGGTAGATATATCTCGGATCGAAAGATTTTTGTTTTCTCGATTGGCTGAGTTCCAAGACCAATTGTTCAGGCTTTCTAAGCTACTGCCGATATTTCCATTAGAAAACGGTGGAGCAGGAGGCGTGGCAGGCCGAGATAGCGAATAGCCAGATGGGGCTTCACGCAACCGATGATCGTCCACAGGTGCTCGGCTAGGAGAAGAAGGCCAATTTGAAGAAGGGGGGCCGGATCCGAGATACAAGGGCTGGTTAGGCTGCCAGCCATGAGCGCGAATATCTGCAGATGTATGTCGCCTAGCTAGGCCATTAGGAGGCGGTTCAACTGCGGCAAGAGGATGAGGGCCTGGGGGTGGCGGTGGTGCCTGAGACCGAAGGGGTGAGGGAGAAGACTGAGGCTGCGCGCCGCTTATTGATCCATATGGACGTCGAGCGCCGCTAGAAAGGTTAGATGGCACAGGCGGACGATAGAAATTATTGCCCCTAGTTGAGTGCGTTGCTGTGCGCGAATCCTGTGCGAGTTGACGGGGAGACACAGGTGGATTGTCTATATTAGCGAAGTACTGACCCCTACTGGAGACAGGAGGTTCAGGCGGATCATCTGCAGTGAAAAATTCACTTTGGCGGTGAATTTCACTTTGCAAGGTGAGAACTGGAATATATTAGCAACCAAAGAATGAGGACTCAAATTGAGAATGTGGGTGAAAAGACGTTGAGGAATGAAGCAAAAAGCTATTCATGAGGGCACTTACTATCCCTATGGAGTGGATTGTCGGGAGGAACAAGAGCAAGAACTGTCCTAGACAGCTCCTGGTTGAAGTGTAGCAACCTGTTGATAACATCTACCATCGCTTGCTGCTTGACGTGCATATACTGGGCGTTTTCCTCGTTTCGCTGCAACTTGAGGTTGGTCTCGTAGAGGGAATGCTCAATACTGGCCAACCGTGGATCTGTTCCATCGTGAATGACCGGCATTGGTTCAGCCGGAGTGCCTGGCTGCGATGGAGTAGGTTTATGGTTGCCATAGTCCCTGTTCATAATGGAATGCCTCGAGGCCCTCCGTTTAATCTCACGGAGACCAACAAGATCACCTCTCTTAAAGTTGCCATTACCATGTTTGAATTCCCAAAGTGCCGTTTCAGGGTTTCCAGTGTGGAAAACGTCACTAACTAGAATCCAATGTCAACTTTTCATATTTCACACTGAAAATACGAACAAACTCAATACAAACCTTTGTGAAAGCCATACATATTCAACTGGCGTACGAATGAGGAAATATTAGTATGCTTAAAGTATTGCCTAAACAATCATCAATTCCGTGTTCGCTCAATGCCAATTATAAGCGATAGGGCGGACGTACGCTAGTACTTTTGAGAAGTCATGAGAAGGAGACATGACGAAACTCTCAGCCGAGGTTGACCAACTGATGAGGTGCTGTATGTTCGGGTCTTCTAGCATGCTATTCTAGAGTCAGTCGCCTCCCCACGTACTCGACGATCACGTAGACACACTTATAAAGCTTATGGATGAAGGCAGTCTGGACAATTTTAGGCTGGTGGACAGCAGCCGCGGCAGCTGCGGGCGCAGATGTTGACGATGGTACGGTTGGAGGCGCCGGCATTGTGTTATTTGAGGTACTCCCCAAGTTCTGTTCGGCAGGTGGTGCTATATTCTTGCGTTCATTTGTGTCGCTTGCGTCGCCTCCATCAGATCCCCGGCCAATGCTCTGCGCAGCAGAGGAACTAGTTGGTGTCGTGATATCCATAGGATCTCCGGCGACCGGCGAAGGTGCAGACGTCTTTATAATCGGGGTCGGCGTTGGTGGGGTGGTGATGATTGGTATTGTGCGCGCAGTTAGGCCGTCTTCTGGCTCACGGCCGGGCAAGCTCCTCGGCACGTGTTCAGTCGCAGTAGCCATCGGGTCTACCATGATACAAGTCATCAGCATGATTGGAGACAAGAATGTCGAGACACGAGACAAAGAAGCAAAGGAGGTGCTGTCAGAGAGCTTGTGTAGAGGTATAGACACTGGTATGGAAGCCAGTGCGCGACGGGCCAAAGTTCACACAGATGGCAAGGCAACGTAAGACAGGACGAGACAAGACCAAGCAAGGCAAAAAAAATAAGATTTCTAGAAAGTTGGGACATGAGGAGAGGACTGACCGCATGGTAGCTCAACTTCTTTTCCGCCCAAGTGTGAAAGGGGGGCCGAGGAACGGCTGGGGGATTATTATACTATATCCAATTCGAGCTCGAAAGGAATGCGCAGCAACGGGTGGATCGAACGACGCTCCCGTAGGAGATTGCTCCGTCTGGCTCTGATTCTGGTTCCCGTTCCCGTTCCTGTTCCTGTTCCTGGTGATGCTGCCGGCTGCCGCAGGCAAGACATGGGGGATCCCTCCAACGATGGGATTGGCAATGGCGACAGCGAGTCAGCCTCGCGCAAGGGCGGCGGATCGGTGGCTGCAGAGGCAGGTGACGGGTGAACCGGATTCGTAATACGAAGCGCAACCAACGCACGTCGTACGTTAGCAGCGGCGACTTGTCGTGTATTTTTGGGACGAAGCGATGCGCACGCAGTGTGACGCTCGTAGATCTGTATGTAGGTAAGAAAGGAGACGATGGGGGTTGAAGCCGAACAAGCGCGGGTGCGGGCAACCTCAAGCGACCGAACCCCCATGTACAAGCGCTGTGCCTACCTAGGTATCTGAGTACAGGCAGGCGTGTGGGTACGGGTGCCATGGTGCCATGTACCATGTATACCTACTCCCTAGTCGCGGTGGAGCTCTGGTGCTAAATTCAGAGTTACAGCACATTTTCCCCCTGTAACAGGGGACCACCAGGCATACCGGGGGTGCGCGTTGGTTGTCTTGTACAAATCTACATGCATCTTCTACTGTATGAACCTCTCCTGGATGGAAATAGTTGATAGAGCGCGTAGTTTACTATTAGATCTAGTACCTATCTATCTACATATGTACCTAAGGTGCCTAGTTATGTGTACTTGCTTTATAAGGTACTTTACACGAAAACAATAGCATCATATAAGTACCCTCAGTTACCGATAGTCTTGTGGGCCATACTTACCTAGAGTGAGGTCAAGTTATCGAAGTACTTGTTTCTAGCTGGTTATCTTAGTTAAAAGGGCATGCTGTATATCTCGACTTGGCCCAAACGGGTACTATATTCGACAAGTTTAGGGCAGGTTAGTTAAAGTCATTGGATCATTATCAAAAGGGACGCTTTCCAGAGCTACGACATGTCCTTGCTCTGCCCTGGATGTACGTCAGTAATGCAACTATAACCCAAGTTTAATAGAGATCTCCTGTGGTTCTGCATGAAGTACGGTAGGTGCCAGAGATATCCTCTTACCTCTCGCCATTTGCAGCAACTTAACTTGGAGCTCGACTCTTTGCCACATACAGCATGTAGGTACGGGAGCAAATGTGTATGTAGAAAGCAATAGAATGGCCAATCAAGTATGCATATACACGTACATAGGCAGGAGGAGTCTTACTTAGAATGTATCATATTAGATCATACCTACCTACCTACATCAACATGTGTAGCCTACGCATGTACTAGGTATGTAGAGTACTTAGGTGTGTTGACTCAGACGAAAGCCTCTATACCAGACTCTACTTTCACAACCGTACTATAACTATCCTAGCATTACTACCTTGTACAAGGGAGTGAGTGGAACTACTATATGAAGCACTAATCTGCTTAGTCGACCCAACTATGGAACTATGTGTAGATGTCTAGCATATTTCTGAAGTTAGCTAGCAGTCTTCCACGTGCTGTAGATAATGTACTATGTACTACCAGTTACTATGTAGGTCCTACTGACTCGTTCCTGGGCATCTCAAGGAGCTTTGGCCATCCCCTTTTGTTTCAAGTTTCACATCAGAGAAGATACTCAAATCCTCCACACCACGAACTTCTCTAAGACACGGAAAAGACATCTACCGGCAGTATATAGGATTGAGACGATGAGTAGCCCGTTCTGTGTCCAGATAATGGTGGTTTCCTCTTGAAGCGCAGCAATGGGTACGATCTGATAGAAAGAGGCCAAGGTTTCCGGATCAAATAGACCATGCGCTACTGCAGTCGTGCAAGCCAAGGCCATGACCAGCAGCTGACCATTTGCCAGAGTTACTGTGGCTAACCCAGAAGGATGAGAAGGCCTCCTGAAGGTTTTCCAAACGTTCCGGGGAGCAAACAAGTTCACTTGGCGGCATCTGGCTTTTACCTCTTCCAAGCCACCTTTGCTTGTGCGGTTCTAGAAGCCATAGTAGCTGCAGCGGACAAACCAGACAGACACCTCTGAAAGAATAAATAAGTGTTTACTATGTAGGTAGGCCATATCCATCAGCACGAATTACATAGTAATATGTTCCTGGCAAGGAGGTCAAAGCCAAACCAAAATACGTTCTTACAGCAGTAGTTCGAATCCGCAAACATACCCCTTGTCATTCATTACCTTATCCCTGCTCGTGCTTAGATTCACTAGGACCGGAAAGAGGATTGCCGATAAGTCTGCGATGATAACCTAGTAGGTTATCTACTTAAGTAGATGTAGATATGTGATGTTATACTGTATTTTTATGCACTGAATCGGGGGCGTACCTATTGCACAACACACAACGGCATGATTGAGTAAATATCAAGGCCAATGCTAGCTAGTTTGAGTATCAATTTGCTTACATATTGTACAAACGGCAAACTTAACTTTGCCTCCACCGGGCGACTTGTTGGATGCGGAGTGAATGGTCTTTAGCTCAGACTTAGCAACTTCATAGCGTGCCGACACCTGCATACGTGTAAGTAGGTTGATGGTCTCGCACATACATAGTACAGTATGTAATCTGGAAGATTCTAGAGACTTTGAAGAAGGGTAGATGCGATGTCGGTTGTTCACTGTTGGGACAATCAATTCGAGTTGCCGTGGTATGCTGCCACCTCACATATGAGATGCTCGCGTTAATATTGGAGTCTAGATGAGCCGTATGATGCTATAACGAAGCGCTGATGAAGCCCCATTGGGACGCGACACGATCACCACCCAGGAGGCCCGCCGGCATGCAGAAGGATTTCCAGCAGTGTGTTCGACGCAGGCCGTGGCTAGATGGCTTACTATGTGCATCTAGTGTACCGGTATGTATCGAAGAGGTTTGAGTGTTCTGCAGCCATGCCACGCCGGTGCTTATTTAGGCATCGCAGGGCAAGGCCGGCCCTTACATGCATCTGCCCACGATACCAAATAGTCAACACCGAACTGTAGGCATGCTTGAAACACACAGTAGGCACAGTACTTATCGGCTACTTCTAGAAACCCCAGGATGCCGTAGCCTGAGATCAAGTGTAGTGTTGTAGGTAGTGTACTTAGTGTAGAAACTATGTTGTGGGTTGTCTCAAAGCAACCATCAAGTACTGAGGAGGCCTGCAGCCATGCTTCAGCTTCAAATGGTCTTCATCCGACGCTATTGGATCTGACTACTGTGTGTGTCATTTTCTATTTTCTTCAATTAATTCAAATTACCTAAGACTATGTAAAACGTATCACACCACATCTCCTTCAGTCTCTCCTCAGCTCACTCCGCAGTTCTATTCTCATCATCTCCGATTCTTCTCACCCTAGTCTAGATACCGCTAAGTAAAGATAAAGACGGCAGTTCGCTTACCGCCGAGTTGTCTGAGCAGTATGCTTCATCTACTCAGTGTAGTAGAAACGCTTGTCTCTCTACTTGCATTGCCACCATTCCTTCTCCTGGCTCAACCCCAGTATGGCCACCATCAAGTGATGCATGGTACTTCATCCTTCGATGGGTATATCTGCCACATGAATATCTACATAATACATACTCTACTCTGTAGGTACCTACCTACATTACTGCACTGCCGCCACAGATTGCCGTCTATCAAGGATATCACTCCCCGGAACGCAGCATGGTACTGTGCGACATAGAATCGCCTTGATGTAAATGTCCTCCGCCTTTTCCCTGGCTGATGATGCCTTTTGGCTAGCATCCAAGGAAAGTTCCAATGTTTCTGAATATAGATAGGTAACCCCACGCAGTTTCCAGCCACACTCACTTGCCCCGCCATCCGTCGCAACGAAACATTCTTCGCTTTCAGCTGCCATGTCGCGGTTCAATTAGATATTCACAGGTCCTATTAGAGCTGGCCAGTACCCTGTCATGCTGAACTGACAAAACATGCCTACTTTCCAAGGAAACATCGGCGCACATCTCCTCGAGAGGGGATGGATGCTCTCCTGACTGACATCACAACAAAGCAAAGCAACCCCGGTGGCCAATTCATGTTTCAAGATTCTTGGTGGTAGTAACCCAGATACTGTTGTGAGATCCCCCATGGTGCCGATGAAGAATGTAACCGTACCAGTTCGGGCTGCGCCATGTCAGGTTCTTGATTCGGACCCCTATTCCCGAACTTTGCTATCCACTGGTTCCCCGCCATTGACGACCGCCTGTCCAGGTACATGTATGCTCGGTATGCTGCCTATACTGACCAAGATGGCGGTTTGCGGCGCGGAAAGCAAGCGTAATATGCGTTAAACTCTGTGGCTTTCTTCCTATGATATTTCTAAGAAAGGCTATATTCCTCGAAGGCTACGTCACAGCCCCCCAATCAACCTAGATCTCGAAGTCTGTCCTATTACTAGACGCCCCCAATATAGAGGCACGTCATAAGTCTACTGCTAGTAGCCTAAATTATCATTCTGAGAAATCTTCGAGCAATTTATTAGTCTACTAGTATGGTCCGACGTACATCAACACTGCTTCTAACTTTGTTGATATAGGTATGTCTTTCATGAGCTGGATTAGATGATCTAGGTACTCCCAAACAGTAACACGCGTTTTAGGCTTACCTGCTAGAGTTATCTACTCTTGGGACTCTTTAGCAGATCACAGAGCCCAAGGCTTCCCCCAAAAGAGGATGTAGTCAAATATCAAGCTGTTTCCTAAGTTTACTGTTCTTCTATTGCTTCCTCCTTCCTTATTCAACCGGGAACGAGGCGATACTCTTACTTCATTGTGGCTATCAGTCAGCAATTTCATCATCCTTTTTGGGGGTCGGTAACAATCAGATATCAACTCGACCTTGTCTTAGGTCACACTGCACCCAAATGCGGCAACGAGGTGCGTATCCCCTTACCTTGGCTGCATGGAGGTCTGCTATTTTAATCAACCTTATCCCAATAGCTGTTTTAGTATCCCTGTCTTCACCAATCGCTCTAAGCTGGCACCTACAGCAAGTAGGTAACACAGATGAGCATGATTGAGGCGGCATCCGCTTAGCGCTTCCGGGTCAACATTCTGCGTACTTCCTATTGGCGTTGCTAACGAGCCTCGTGGTTGTCATTTAGCGGGCGTAACATCGGGCAGTGCATCTGAACGCGTTGTGGGCTGAGCCGAACGTCATTTTTGGTTCAAAATCAGCTATTGTCGCTTGTCTACCAATACTATTGAGCATTCATAGCCCGTTTTCTCATGGATACAGCCAGTGATGATTCGGGATGCGGCCAGTAGTCAGCATGTGCTTTGGCCGCGATGGCGGGCAGATCTAGTTGAGCGATGGAGTTTTGCTGAATCAAAGTTGGCATTACCCCAATTCTTACCTCGGCAGTCACAGTGGCGACGAAGTATCCCCCAACAAAAAAACAGGGAGAACTTGCCGGCAAGGGAATACGAGAGGCCTTGTAGAATGATATCAATACTTGAACACCGATTTCCTACTGGCCAGCGACGTTATTTCCTTATGGTAACATCGGCGACGTATAGCAAGCCTCGGCAGCCGTGGTCGTCTCCAGCCTGCTCGCAGCCATGGCCCTGCCAATACGTCTAAGACATTAGCTGTTGCAAATTACAAATATTCTCGCAAGTTTTTGATTGAGAAAACATTGGTCTTTCGGATCGCCTCATTGGCCTATGAGACTTCTCCAAGGTGAAAAGCATCCAAGCCTCGGTTATTCGGTCTATCGACACATACATGCCATCTTTTTGGCAGTCAATGAGAAAAAAAAAAACGTTGTTGCGCAATGAATATTGTACGCGCTTGTGTTTCGCCAGCCGCAAGCCGCAATAACTCACCTCGAAGGGGCCCCAAAACTGCTACCGTGCCATTTCTCGCACGCGGGGGACTTTTTCTGATTTGTTCATGATTCTTACCTACTGCATAGTAGGAAAATCAAGACCTGACGGTGGGGTCTGACGCCTACTGGTGTAGGCGTCTCATATGTTGTTGGTCGATCGCGCATATTCTCTAACGCTGACCTCGCATCATTTAGAATGAAGTAAGGCTGCCGCACTACACAGTAGTGCAGCGCTGACATCCTTCTGGTACGAATATTCCGTCCGGCCTGGACCTTTTCATTTCAGAGTTGCATTAGTGGATTTGATAACTGATCTGCTGGTATCATGACAGAGCTGGAAATTTGAGTAGATAGTGTCATACGCGGGGAATCAAGATTCAAATATGGCTTTGAGGAGAGCAGGCGCTTCAGCACTATATAAATTACACAATCTATCCTTCTTGCTCCTCAGCTCGTTCAACTAGCTGTGGTGATGACAGCGGCAGCTCTGCCAACCCTTTACCTACCCCTAATTCATGGGGGTCGCAAGACTGCCAGTGCTGTGGCCACCTTCACAGTGTCTTTAGATGACATTAAACCAAGATGCCAAGGGGTATAGGATCCTGAGTTGTGCAGTGGCCGCATATCACAAACCCAGCACCCCCTCTTACTGCCTCTATTTTTTCCATCCCCTAAATTTTACATATAATGCAAGTGCTAGACACGCTACCTTCACTCGTGACGTGCATACGTCGACGATACCACTTCTCCCTTCACACTAAACGCGTAGGCTCGCATGGCGTGCCCACACAAGGCAGACAGTCACTCTATGACTTACTTCCCCCATGCTAACAAAGTATGGTATCAATATGATCCACATGGAACGTTCCGTACCCGGTTCCTTGACGGATCATATGCCAGGTTCTTTACAATATCCTGCACGCAACTTCGGCCCCAGTGGCATATCCTAAGCGAGATCGACAGCAGGAGGACATCAGAGTTTGCCACTGTTCTAGTCGCTTCCCGGAATGAGGTTAATGGTCCTCGCATAAACGTAATAGGGCTCGTATCAACGAAAAGTCACGTTGCGTTGTTAGATTTCGGGTGTGTATTGACCCCGTGAAATGGACCCAAGTTGAGCTGTTTGCGAGACTGAAAATATTGAGTTGAAATCATGTACTACTTCACATCACTAACGAGAAACGGCGGAGCTGTAATATGCGCGAGAAACTTCCGTCTAAGGCGAGGCCTTAGGAGGAATGTGTGTAACACTGTCTGCTTATGGTTCGCGCCCTCATCGCCCGCGCCTGATCCTCTGACACTAACACTCCTTTATCTTCTACCATGCAGTAATGCCGTTGATGAAAGCAGTGAAACACATTCATAGCTTGACGCCGTAACAGCGGGTTTCGGCGATTAGAGCTGGGGATTGGCACAAGTGCGCTCTAGTCGGAGGACGAGTTGTGGACATGGGATATACTTCATAGATACTCGACATTATACTTTGTGATCTTCTCAACACTCTCGTCGGGACAAATCTATTGTGTGTGTGATATAGTGGCTCATAGTAACGTCACTACCAGCAGGCTCCAATACCAAACATACTGTTCTTGGGTAATCTTCATCGAGAAGCGAATCACAGCCTTGCATCTAGGCGCCCTTGTGCTCGTGTGGACCGTATTACGATTCCTACGGGGAAGTTACACGATATGCGCGCGGCACAACTTTGATATTCGCCCTCTAATATGAGCAAGGCATAACCCCGCCAGATTAGTATGTAGATTTCTGTGTCGGCTCGTTGTGAAGGCGGCCAGAAAGTCCCATGCCTTCCTCCTCGCCACCTTTCCCTCCCGTCGAGTAACGTCAGGGTTTCATCTTGCGGGACTTCCCTGGTACACTGCATGATATCTAGAGGTAGCTGTACTCTCAACGTACCTCGATGACCTCTAAAATGAAGGCGGCAATTGTTGCCCACCCTTAATTGCCGCCGTTCATACATCCCGTCATGTTCTAGTGTCTCACGCTGCTCACAATACGTATCTCCAGCTCGACCCAGTGGCGCGAGGAAGGTGGTCGTGAATTTTAGTCGAATACGTACGTAAGAGACTTAACTACCGTAACATCGTCTGGTCTACGGCTATTTTAAGCAAGCCCCTTAAAATACCTAACAACATTAAGGAAGCCCGGCCTAAGGTTGAATCGATTAAGCATTTATGTTCACGCTTACCTACACAGCCCTTACACTTTCAGTTTCCAACACGCCTCATGATGGTTTCCTGTCATTTATCCCGTCACAGGATTTATTTTATCACCGTGTCAGTAGGCAGCAATGATAACAGCGTTTTGATATGAAGAGAGAGCGTCGTGAGTATCGCGATTAAGCTAGTTACAGCCAAGATCCAACCGTCTTTTCATGCTGCTTTTGACACCATGGAAAATCAATCATAACCAAATTAGAGCTATATTAAAGCATAAATGTTGCAAATAAGAGTCATAGCATCTCAATTGCCGAGGTCCCGATTCCGAGTCTTGAGTGCCACTGCGCCTAGGAATATCAAACCAAATCCTCTAGCCTTATCCCGAGTACTAGCAATATGGTTCGCTGCTTAGTATCGACCATATTCCAAACGAGATCCACATAACAATAATTCGCAAAGACGACAACTAGACGAGACAAGCATAGGTATTCGAAAAGAGATCTCAAACAATATTCATACATAGAATTTAAACTAGAAGTATCGCGCTTAACTTGACAACTGGTATAGTACTATATGCTTGCACCATAGCTGAAATATCCAACGCTTAACCAACGCTAAGTTTCAATGCCGGTTATCTGCGCAACCGATGTCGGCTGAGCTAATGGCCAAATCATCAAGTGGGTTCAGAATAGCTCCCCAATCAACAACGCGCGCCCTTCTATTGACAAGCAACCAAGATTCTATAAAAAGTCTCTCGTAATGAAACACATAACTTCATTTGAAATCATATCGACTAGGCAGGGGAACCACATGAAAAGGGACCCCGGACCTGGCCAATGTCGTAGCGGTGAATCTAAAGGAATCGATGTTAGTCGCTGTATATCCTCGAAAAGCTAGGCTAAAGCTGCTAGAAACGGACGAGAGAAGGCACTTACAATATCCTCGATACTGGCATATGTTCCACCCACGAGAATCACGATTCCTATTATGAAGCACACTGCATTCAAGACAGTCCATACCAAATTTTCCTTGGCGAAAGGGGAGCCTTGGCGAATCAACATGAACCACATCATGGCGGGGAAGTAAAAGGTGAAGCCCGAAATGAAGAGAGATGACGAGATGGCCAGCAAGTCCTCAAAGAACGGGATAGCCTCAGCAAGAACCCAGGCAATAATGGTTAGGAACGCGATAAGCGCGATCCATGAGATCCAGCCCTTGGGGGTGTTGATATACCGGATAACAGAGTCCTTGTAAACGCGACCGTGGATATATCGGCCAGCAACAGTGCCGTTGATTGATCCCGAAATGAAGATGACGGGCAAGGCGATACCAAATGCGATCTTGGACAGGAGGGGTCCGGCAGATAGGAGAGCGGGGGACTTGACGTCCTGGCCGACAAAGGAGTAGATCAGCGCCCCAGTCAGGGTGTAGATGATGATCTCGATGATTCCAAGCACCCAAATCGACTTGACGAAGTCCTTGGGCGTGTGCATCTCGTCCATGAACGAGAACTGGCAGATGGCGAAACTGTAGGCGAAGACGATGTTCGTGACGGCAATGAAGGCGTCGACGAAGCCGGCGTCTGGAGCGGGCCACGCGGACCAGTCTGATGCCATCTTCATCTCGCTTCGCTGCACACCTGTCGCAATGATCGTAATGCCAATGGCAAGGATGATGGATGCGAAGTCGACGTACCCAAGGATCGCCACTTCGGCGAACGAGGGTGGCAGAGCCAGTAGGAGCAGGATGATAGCGGACACGATGCCGAAAACAATCGAGCACGCGCCGTCATCTGTGAGGTTGAGGAACGCAATCGAGCCCGTGAGCGTGTGCGAACCTACGAGGAAGACGAGTTGCAAGACGAACATGAAACTAATCAGCTCATAACCGAATTTGCCCATCATCAACCGTCCAGCGTCGGCGCTGCGCAAATCCACATTAGCTCAGGTCTCTTTCCCGGCGGACATTCTTTTCCAGACGATTGCTACTTACTAGTGTTGCACGTGAGGGTATTTTATCTTGACCTGTCCGACGACATAACTGCTGTAGATGGCCAGCAGGCCCAGTCCAACACAAAGGATCGTGCCGGCAATCATTCCAAGCGTCGCAAAGGCCGCGGGCATACCCAGACTCCCAAGAGCGATAGCCTCCACAATGAGGATGACCGTCAACCGTTTCCAACCGAGTCGGTTAAAATGGGCTTCGCCATCTTGCATCCGAGCCTTCTCGACGTCTGTGAGTTCCCGGACCTGACCGATCTGTTCCCCGTCCGAGGCTTGGTCTGACGGGATTATCGACGATGGCGCGATTTCGCCATCCTCTTTCTTGGTGTCGAACATCATTATGTCGCTTGACTTCTTCTGCAGCCCTAGGTGCAACCTGTATCGCTGTGTGCCGCTGGTCTGGCCGAGAATGTTGGTGTTGCGGGATTCTGTACCGTTGTCCGGAGGTTTTGTGGGTTGTGAGAGTTTGCGGCGGATGAACACCGGCACGGGCAGGAGACTTTCCCGTTAAAAACACCAAAGTTGATCGCGAACCAACTTGGAGAGAAGAGGACCGTGCAACAAGCTTTTAGTTGTTTAAACACGCGCGAGATAAAGCAACTCTGTCCTAGTCGCCAACTTTCTCAAACTCAAACCGATCCAAGGGCGGGCGAGAGTAGAGGACAAACTCAGATAAGCAATACGTTCGGGGAGGGTTCGCCAAAAGTTAAAATCTCCCCCATGGACCTCCACCGAAAGGGCCAGTGCTATACTCTCTCTCTGTCCAGTCTCGGACTTTCTTTCTCGCCGCTCGCCGCCTGCTTGTTTTCCTTAGTGCCATGCTTTAGTTGCCTCTCCTCCGCCGACGTTGTGGCCTCATCACGCTGGACTGCGTACTCATTACGTATTCGAAAGTGCACAAATCTTACAGTGTGCAGCGAGTAGGGCCGTGTCCATCCAGAATAGTCTCATCTACGGTACGAGTCGGGCACAGCTTGGACCTAATTCGTGGACTCTGGTGGGCGGATGGCTCCCGGGGCTCCACCGGCCGTCGTGTTTTTTTCGCCGGGGGTCAGAGGTTGAGATCAACATGCTGGATTTTGATTGTGTAATAGTCCTGGCGATTTCCTCTTATTTCCCTCCGGTGCTCCAACGCTGTATCCATTTCTTACCTCAGTACCACTAGGGTCCCCAGACTTTGTCTGCATGAAGGCCCATTTGCGCCGATGCACCCTATGTGCATCTTAAATACCCTGTACTGCGTTATCTCAAAAGCCTCACGCTGTCAAAGTCAACTTACATAGTCAAGTTAAGTAAGCATGGATGGCTGTGACCAGGAGACGTCCTGCCGGCTCACGCCCTGATAATGCGGCTCTTGGGTGCAAGGATCAAACAAGCTTTCTGGCTGTGTATGTAGGGTTGGCTCGGCAGTGACGCATCACTGGTCGAGTGCCGAAGCCCTACTGGAACAGGAAAAGGAAACTATGAAGTCACTCTTTTCGGCGGCTTCAGGAAACCGATTGGTTGACTCAGCCACATCCGTGGGGGTTATGAACTTCTAGAAAAATTCGTTGACCACTCGCACAGACTTACATATTGATCGACTCATGATTTCAAAGAAAAGAAGAGGCACTAGACTGTGTTTGCAGAGTCAAGCCTTGTTAAGCCCCGAACTAGAAACAACGCACCAAAGAAGCATCCTACATCCCGGAACAACCGAACCATCTGGGTCATCAAACCAGCTAACTAGATCCTATAATAACAAGCACAACTGCAGCACGCCGTGCTCCGATACCTAGTGAAACTGTCTACCCAGTTAGTTAGTAAGTTAGTAAGGAGGGCCATGGTCTCGTTCATTCGAGTGCTCTCGAACTAGGAGCTGTTTATTGAAAGCCCCACCATTGCACTTCTCGTCACCCCATCGCACGCGCCACTACATGAGTAATATGACGCTAGAAGATGGAAGCAGTGGAGGAAGTTCCCAAAAAGGTTGGTCCAAGCGGAAAGTCAAGTAACGGACATACATGTAGAAGAAGGCAGGTTTCACGATATTAGCATATCTTGACAAGGAAATCGTCAAAAGGCAGTTTTTACTTATTCGTGGCCAGTTCCAAGATATTTAAAACTAATATATCTTGTAAACTTTTGCATCAAACCTGAAACAAGCTTATCGCACGATGCAGGTCATATGCCTGAAAGTCGAACAAGTACTTGGCGAGAAGCGCCATTTTTCAGCATTCAGCAAAGCTAACAGCAGCAATTTAAATCCCTCTCACCATCTTATCAGGTCGCGTGAGCATTTCGTAGCATCCAGGATCTAGACGAGAAGAGGGCCTGTGTCCGGAATCTTCATTATCAGGATATATTTGAGACGTTTCCATTGGTCTGAGCAGCATGAAGAAATAAGCTTTCTCATCTACTGTAAAATCCAACAACCTGGTTCATGCTTGCAGGGTAAGGTTAAGAGCCTTGAAGGAATGCTTTAGTCACGCGACGAATTTCGATGATGGCCGTATATCGCTTATTATGAGAAATGCCTCAACATTGTCTTGGACTGACGCGGTTTTAGGATAGCTTTGCGGAATGCATCGGAACGGTTAAAGGTTGGGGTGCTCTTTATCCGCCTCTATAGCAAAAGAGAATCCAATTACGTGCGGCCTGTAAAACTGAGGGATAATACGGATACTATAGCTACGCAAATCTCCGTGAACTGACGATCCAGGGTTCTGAACTCGAGTTCCCCAACTCTAGGACCGAGGCATTGCGGTCCGGGCGTTTTCTTCCAACTAGCCATTTAGCCAGAATGCCATTGCTGACTAGCTTCCAAGACAGCATCCTTTTCAAGTATTTCTCAACTGCAAGCAATATGGCCTGCGTATTACCCTATCTAGGCGTTGACAAGAATGCGCTGACATTGTCTTCAAGCGTTTATGCCTAGATAGAAATTAGCCTTAAAAGAAATATAAAAGACCTGTAGCTTTCTGTTGGCGCATCGTAATTGAGCTTGTTGATTGAAGTTCAATACCAAATTGCGTCGCTCTAGCCCAAGTTCAAGATGCTTCGTCAACTACTTGCTGCCGGGGTCTTCTTAGGCGCCGCAACACTGGTTACGGCCGTAGCAGAAAGCTATGATTATATCGTCGTAGGGTCGGGTCCGGGTGGTGCCCCTTTAGCAGCAAACCTCGCCCGCGCAGGATATAGTGTGACTTTGCTCGAAGCGGGAGACGATCTCGGCAACAACAAGAACTTTTCGGAGATAGCCAACTTTATCGCAGCGGGCAACGACGAGAAGTCGCGGTGGGATTTCTTTGTTAGACACTCAGACGACAAAGCGCGCGAAGCCAAATATGAGAAAACAACTTGGCGTACAGCAGACGGTTCCTTCTACGTTGGACTTGATCCACCAGAGGGGTCAACACGCCTTGGCATTTACTATCCTCGAGCGGCAACACTCGGCGGTTGTGCTATGCATAATGGGGGCATCTGTACCCTTCCGAATGACGCTGACTGGGATTATATCGCCGAAATTACGGGTGATGACGGCTGGTTAGCGAGTAATATGCGCAAGTACTTCGAAAAGAGTCAGTAGATCCAGAGTCTTTCACTCTAATTCGGCTATGATCGGGATAAAAGTAGTCAGTTCAAACTGTTCTACTTCCGAAGCCATTATGATCTTGAGAAAATGGCGTGTGGTGAGCCACGTGTAGCATGATGATTGCTGACTTCAAATGCCTCAGTGGAAGCAAATGAATACCTACCACCTGACACACCGGGCCATGGATACAATGGCTACGTAAACACAACAATTAGTGACCCGTCGTTCATGAAAGAAAACTCGGATGTCCAGGAGCTTACAAGCCAGCTTATCTCGCATATGGGAGGCGATGCAGGAAGAGATATCAATGCTTTCAGCCCGGACCGTGATCAGACTACGGGAGTCTTCGGACTAACCAGCCATGCAGACAGGAATGGGAAACGAGCTGGCACGAATACCTATTTGAAAAGAACATTGGCCGACCCCGCAAAGTTCAACTTGACAATCCAGCTAGAGACGCTCGTGACTAGGATCCTGATTGATCAGAAACATGGAAAACCCAGCGCAACAGGAGTCGAAGTTCTAAGAGGGTCTCATCAATATGAGGTCTGTAACCTGTACTTCTAATGTCCGGCTTAGCATACTCAAGACGCTATGGTTGGCTTGAATTGCCTAGATTGTGAAGGCTTCTCCCTCAGCATTAGACCGCTACTAACCATTGCGTATTTAGGCCGATCCTTTCTACAACGCTACCAAGAAGGGCAAACCTAGTCGAATTTACGCCCGGAAGGAAGTTATCATCGCTGGCGGCACTTTCAATTCCCCCCAAATCTTGAAGCTTAGTGGTATTGGTCCGGCACCAGAGCTGAAGAAGTTCAATATCCCGTTGGTGAAAGACCTCCCGGGGGTTGGAGAGAACCTCGGCGACAACTATGAAGCAGGCATTCAATCCTTGGCTAGTAAGCCTCTGAACGGTAGTTTTGCTCTAGTTTCTGTCTTCCTGAAGACTCGCTCGGCGCGCAGGACTCGGAATATTCAAGCATGGTGTGGTGGATTTTCGTTTGAGGGATTCTGGCCTGGCTTCCCGACCGACTATGGCCAGAACCAATACGAGGTGAGGATGGACGTATATCGTCTATGTGCTTGATTTCCAGGGTGTACATTGCTGATTTCGCTTGGAACCAGTGTGCCATAGTCCACATCAATCCACGTTCGCAGGCTGGATATGTACGGCTACGCTCAGATGACCCCCGAGAAATGCCTGATATCAACTTCAATTTCTTCGCGAAAGGTGGAGACGAAGACCTAACAGATATGCTTGATGCGGTTAAGACATTCCGTACAGCATTGAACTCGGCGGGCTCGCCCATCACGCCCTTCAACGAGCGACACCCATGTCCTGGTGTAAATCAAAAGTGCACCGACGAAGCACAGAAGGAGTTTATCAAGCTGCAATCCTACTCGCATCATGCAACCAGCACATGTGCAATCGGCCCAGCCCACGATCCAATGGCGGTGTTGGATTCGAAGTTCAGGGTTCATGGTGTTGGGAATCTTCGTGTAGTAGATGCATCTGCCTTCCCAAAAGTGCCGGGTGCATTTCCTGTCTGCCCAACGTTCATGCTTGCAGAGAAGGCCTCAGCAGATATTCTGGCTGATCTGGAAGAAAAGGGGGAATAGGGGGAATCAAGCGCAGAGGTACCATTGCCTATTTTAGACGTATAGGTACTGTAAATATTATGTCACCGCGCTTACCTAGTAGGTAGTCTGCTACACCACAACGCAATTATGAACATAGCATCTGCCCAAGAATTACGTCGACATCGGATAGAGACGTTGCCTCCTCAATCCTTAGAGTAAGGGTCGAGAGTGAAATACTATGTACAGGTTTCGGATCTCATACACTGTGTATAATACCTACTTTAACTGTACCGCTAGCCAAAACTGCCCCACTTATTCACTCTCCTTTAAGTAGAGTCTGAAGAAGTCATATCGATAAGATAAGATAAAGATTTTCTGGCGATGCTTCCAGTTTCGCGATGTTGAAATGTTGTATTGAACCTTGTACCCCCCGCTATATTGAGCCATATCTTTCTTTGGCTTCACTATCCATTGAGGGGAAAGTAATTCTACAGCGATTTCTGGCATAGATACCTAGAGTATCCCGTTATCTAGACCTGTCCAAGCGATACAGCCTTGATTCTGAGTCCGAAATGCCGAAGCGAAAAGTCACCGCAGCGGAAAAGGTCGAGGGCCTCGCCGTTCTCCAGTGGAAGCTGAGGAAAGACCCTCTAGCCTATCAAACGTAGGTGAAATTCTAATCCGATTTTTCTACTCTTGCTATCAAGAGTGGCTTTGAAAAGCACTTTCTTGAGCTAGGTCTGCCATGGACTTCTCCATCCATAGCACATGAAGCCTTGAGCTATGTTCGCTGATATCAACTTAACAGGGAATTCATAGGTTAGTCTGATGCCACACGGACAGAATATTTTGGCCAAGCTAACATTGGCGTCAAGAGCTATGGCAGCATTTTGATTCAGCGCGCGAGAGAGTTCTTGCAGACCCTCTGGGTGTAGATGCCGACTCACTTGCTACGGTCAGCTTCTTTATAATCTCTGGACATTCCGGCGTTCAAACTGGAGTCTAACCTTACTTAGTTCAGGGAACATATGGATTTGATCGCGCACTGCGCCGAGAAATACCCCGAAATCACAGCTACCTTCCCAGATAGTCTCAGAGACATCCTCATAGCGCACCATGCGACGCTCGATCCAACACTCCGAGAGAAGATTGTTACCAGCCTTTCACTCTTGAGGAGGAAAGAGGTTATAGACAGCGCTTATTTGCTGCCCATATTTTGGTCTCTTCTCATTTCTACGCCAAGCAAAACATTGAGAACTTTGCTGTACCAAAAAATTATCAGTGACGTGCGAGAAAGCAACACACGAGCAAAAAACCACAAGGTCAACCGAACATTACAACAAGCGCTTTACAATATAGTGACAGACAAATCCACACCCAAAGCGTTATGGGCTGTGAAAGTTGTGCGAGACCTTTGGAGGCGCCGCATTTGGGATGACGCAAAACCAGTTGATATCATGAGACAGGCGGCTATGAGCGATGATCCTAAGACAGTAGCTAGTGCTGTTAGGTTCTTTCTCGGCAGTGATAAAGAGCGAGATGAATTCGAGGATGACAGCAGCGACGAGGAGGCAGTCGACGTCCGCAAAGTTAAACACCAGATCGGCATTAACAAGAAGAGCAAGAAGTCAAAGAAAATTCTTGAAAAAGCCACAGAGAAGGTCAAGAGGCAAGAGCGGAAAAAGAGTGCGAATCAGCAACTCAATTTCTCTGCGTAAGTCTCGCTCAAATGCTCACCTTTACCCTTGGACTTCCGTACCGTATCCATACTTACTGAGGTGCTAGTCTGCATTTACTCCTGGACCCTCAAGGATTCTGCGAGTCGCTATTCGAGAAGCATTTGCAAAATAAGAAATCGAAACTTCCATTAGAGACTAAGCTTGATATCTTACAACTCGTTACTCGTCTAGTCGGCCTGCACAAGCTTGTAGGTCTACCGTGCACAACGAGATTCCACCAGCTAACAGCTCTTCTAGACAATTCTACCCTTATACTCGTACTTTACTTCCCATCTTACACCTCGACAACAATCTGTAACATCGTTTCTGGCATCCCTCGCGGTACGTAATTTGTGGCTCACCCATAAACTTGGACGAGACATACCATGTCTCTAAGCCCGGATTTTCCTGATACGCCATACTAATTTCATTATAGCAAGCAACGCATTCCCTTGTACCACCTGAAACAATAGAGGTGTTGCTACAGAAAATCGCGAACGAATTTGTCTCAGAGGCATCAAATGTAGAAGTTGTGAGTTTGGATCGTTTTCATAGACTCCCTGCAATTTCAAGACATGAGAGTGTATGCTCCAAGCTAACCAACGAGTAGTGTGCCGCCGGAATCAATGCTATTCGTGAAATTTGTGAGTCTTAAAACTTCAGATAATTTAATTCATAAAGCTAACTTGATAAGGCGCACGTCAACCTCTCGCAATGAACGAGACATTGTTGCAGGATTTGGTAGAGGTAAGGCATCCTTCTATGCTGCAATTTTCTCAAATCCATGGAAAATACGGCAGTAGCTGACAGCCTCTAGTACCGTAAAAGTAAAGATAAGGGAGTGTCAATGGCTGCAAAGGGTCTTCTCTCATTATATCGCGAAAAGGGCGCAGAAATGTTAAGGAAGAAGGATCGCGGCAAGGATGCTACGATTGGGCTCAAATCAGGCGAAGTAAAGCAACAGAAATACGGCGAAGAGCAAGTTGGTGAGATTGAAGGACTTGAATTACTTGCCAAGTGGAAAGAGGAAGAAAAGAAGAGGAAACGGGCCGAGAAAGGACTTCCAGATGATCCTGATGCTGTTGAGAAGAACGAAGAGGAAGACGATGACGATTTTAACGAGAGCGATTGGGAAGTTGCTTCAACTGATAGTGATGAGTCCGGAGAATGGATACGTGTTGCCGAATCTGATGATGAGGCCGAGCCGGAGCCCAAGAAGCGGAAAGTCGGGGATGAGGCAGAGCAGGATGAAGAAGACAAGGAGCCAGAGCAGGCTATCGACTTCATGAAGCTTGCGACAACCCAAGTGCTAACGCCGGCTGACCTTGCCAAGCTCAAAGAATTGAGATTGGAGGCTAGCATCAACAAGGCAATGGGAAGTAGTAAGCGAAAGGAAATGGAAGCTCGTCACATAGACGAGGGTTTGACGGCAGAGCAAATTGAGGCACCAGCGAAGCTCCGAAAGGCCACCAAAGAAGAGCGGTTAGCTATGGTGAAGGAGGGTAAGCCGAACAGGGAAGAACATAAATCTACAGCTGCTATCAGGAAGTCGAAGAAAGAGGCTGAGGGCAAGTCGACAACCAACAAGGAAAAGGCTCGTAGGAAGAACTTTCTGATGACGCTTGGAAAGGCCAAGTCGAAGCAGAAGCGCAGTCTCGTTACAACAAGAAACGTCCTCAAAGCACATGTTGAGCGCAGCAAGTCTGGCGGAAGACGACGGAATGGCAAGTCGAGGTAAATTTTGGGATATAATGACAGATACCTGAAATAGGCCTATTTTTATATAATACAGGCCGACTGAATTTTTCAGACGCGTCCCTCATTATATTCGCTCTACATTTTGTGAAGTCATGTTGTTTACAAGCTCAAGCATAGCCAAGTTCTTCATCGGCAGTGGTTTAAACTGCTATAATCTCCACGACATTCTATTTTCGCTTAAATTACGTACCGAATAGCGGTGTGTAGAATAGAGTCAACGAGCTATATACAAAGATCTAGATATCTAGGTTGCTGCACTGGTTTGTGGAATGTATCCGAGCCTTGATGTAAGCTTCGCGTGTGTTATGTGTTATGTGACTTGCCTAGAATCGAAGCTACCTACCAATTTACTTCACCGCCCGTATCTTAGGCCCCTACCCCAGAAGTACCTAAGTACCTACCTACTGTCAAAGGGCGTACTTGTCTGTTCACGACTACAATCATATCTTCTCATCTCAGAAGATGGGCCGAGATAGGCATCGACTAAAACAAGTTAATCGCACTTTAACAAGCAGGGGTTGAATAAGCAAACAGGCAAGAAAGAAAGAAAGAAAGAAAGAAAGAGAGCAAAAGCGAGAAATACAGACCCCAAGCAATGGCGCGATCCGACGAGGCAGCTTCCTTCTTCATCGCCGTGTACCGCGCCGTGCAGGAAATACCGGAAGGCAAAGTGACCAGCTACGGACATATCGCGAAGCTCGTGGGAACCCGTACGTCCAAGTACCTTTTTTTTCATAGCTGAGGATTCTCATTTCACGTAGATATCTCAGGTTACTCCGAGTGGCTATGAGTAAAAAGCTCACGGGGAATACAGCACAGCGTCCGCGCCAAGTCGGCATCTGCCTCAAGCATTTATCGCATGATCCCGGAGCGAGACATCATTCAGGGAACGTCCCTTGGCAGCGTGTAATCAACTCGAAAGGGATAATATCGCCTCGGTGAGTGCACGTTCTGTTTCCCATGTTACATGCCATTTCGTACCATAGGTATGGGAAGGAGATATGCTAACACTAGCCACGATTATAGGTCACAGCCATCTGGGGCGCGTAACCAAGCAGCTGCGTTACGGGCTGAAGGCATCACAGTCTCTACAGATGCATTAGGGGAACTGAGTGTCGACTTTGGAGAGTACGGATGGTTTCCTGATGTATTGCCATCTGAAGAAGCAGAAGAGGAGGAATGGAGCTCGAGCAGTGAAAACGAATGATTGTCTATTTGCTATTGATTCTACATGGGACAGGTAATTATTGACTCATACTTCCCTATGGTAGACCGAACTCAAGCGGTTCAGTATAAGTTTGCACAGCCATATTCCAGTATAGTTACCCTTCGTCCTACGATATCGCATTAGGCTCACGGAGCATCTGCTGGAGACGATTCGGTTAGCGAAGGCTTCCACGTATCGTTCAGAATCAGAGAGAATGAAAATAATTATCAGATAGCGGTTGGACATAAGTGATTCCACATTGAGTTTTCAGAACAGGTCTGTGTGATATGTGCTCTCATCATAGAAAAATAGAAAGTGATCGGGACAGAACATACCATATTCATAGATCATGTCTCCTTGAACACAATCATCATGCTAAACTCATTGATTATTCTCATCCTCATCGAGCTTTCGCTTTCTTGAGGCTGATGTGAAGAATGACTCCATCGTACGTTGTCGTGAGTCGTACGACGCGCTGCCAATTCCACCACGGGTTTTCTTCAAACCCTGTAGGTGATCAACGTTGTTGGTAGACTCTACTATCATATGAATGATTTTGGAACTAGCCAGGTCACGCGAGATACTGTCAGACACCTCAAGGCGTGCTTGCAAGACACCAGTGTTGCTCCATGGTGCTAAATAGTCCGAGCCAGTTCGCTCTGCTGTTAGCCGCTGAATAGAGGATTTGGACGGATAACGCAAAAGCAGCGCCTTCAGTAGGACGTTGAGAATTATGCCATGGGCGACAACGACAACCGTGGCATTTTCAGCCGCAAGCTGATCGATGGTCGGGCTGAGGGAATGGTCGAGAAACCGATTGATACGAATACACATGGATTCAGCGGTCTCCGAACCATCATCGCTGTCTTTAGCACCAAATTTCTTGCCCTCTGATAATCCAAAGTCCTTTTCACGTAGCTCTTCCACACGAATTACGCCAGACGGCAGTGACGAGGTTGAATCATCATTTGTGGATCGACAGGCTTCAGCGATTGCGTCAGCTGTCTGATATGCTCGTTGGAGATTCGAAGCAAAGACATGGCATATAGGTCCTATCGCGGTTTGACGACTGGCAATGTGCGCGCCAAGTCGTTTGGCCTGGAGGACGCCATGGTTGGTTAGAGACGAGTCACGAGAGCCTGCACTTGAAAAGATGTGTTAATAGAACGGCGACGAATAAATATGTAGACGATTGGAGACAACTCACTATAATCCTGCTACATTATCAACTGACTCGCCATGACGAATGAGGAGTAAGCGCATTGCTGCGCATCATCATCAGAAGTTTGCGAGAAAGTTGGAGAGAAGAAAAGAGAGAAAATGCAAGCAAGCTGTGGGGGAAGAAGATTTTATGTGCTAGCTTAAGATCCGTGCAAACGCCCGTTTAAGCTAGGTTGTACGTACTGTGCTCGACACTGTATCTTGCAAGCTTACTTCGTAACAAAATTCGACTAGCCAGTCATCAACACCAACAACCACCTGGACAGGTAGGCAGTGTCTCAAAAGATTGAAAAGACAGGTCTAGGCGGATGATAAGCCACTCAAGCTTATATGGTGTATTCGATCGCATACAATTAGTACCCCACGCCAGCCAAGCCAAGTTTTGCTTGCCTGTAATAGTCGTAATTTGTTTAAGTTTTGGATGCTTCGAATCTGTATATATGATCATGTTATTACAGTGTTAAAGACCAGCCTATAAACTAAACATGGCGCCCCTGTGATTTCCAGCTCTCCTGGTATGATCGAGACTGATATCGTTGCTTTCTTATCTTCAGATAGCAAGACCTCAAGGCTATGGCTAGATGAAGCAATATCTGCCATTTTCTTTGATAAATCCGAAAAGCAGATCGGGTTCTCCTCGTTCTCGTTCCCAAAGAAGAATTCTGCCTGTTCTCGGTACCTTTTCCGGTCAAAGATTTTGATATAAGAGTAATTGAAGAGGACGATTAGCTCGATATTTGCCGAGCCAACATGAGCTACAACTTGCACGGCAGTCATGTGATACTGCACACCACGCTTCAGCCAGCCCATGAGGGTCACGGGTGTGTGCAGGAAGATCCTATCGGTTACATCAAATAAACGACGGGGAGACACACGCTGAAGCTGAAACTGTTCATTGTCAGGTATATGGAAAGCATGATTTCGGTGTTGGTAGATTTTTGTCTTCACGTCATATCCAGGATCGGGGATGATATAGAAACTGGTATCTGATGCTTTCCATATGGCTGCCTCTCTTCTGACTGTAGTGTGCCTAACACGACAGTATACACCTGGCCCGACCTTACGCAGTAAGATGCCTCGCGGGATTATATCGCAGTCTTGTCCGAGCCAAAAACCGTAGAGCTGATAATCTGTTTCGGGCTCTTTTACTACTGACAACTGCAGGACGTGGGAGAACAAGACTCCCTTGTTGGTTATGACGAACTCAGGGAACACCGAGATGAATGGTGATAAAGCATCAACCGTCCTAAACGCGCTTGGTGATTCTGCAAGGAGGCTGCTCAATTGTAGTTCATCGAGGGACAGACCTTTACATTGTGGTTCGCTCACGTCGTTTTCCGGCCAGTTCCAGAAGAAGATAGTCATGTCTGAGTTGCGTTTGATAATTTCTTCTTGCAGTCGACGAAATGCCATACGGCCCTCACCGTAAAGCAAAGGCATATTTATGCCAAATATTCCAAGTAAACAGTATGCTTGATCTTCGATCCTAGTTGTTTGCCGGCATGAGGCCCATGCCATTCTTTGGGCTACAGGGCATTGTGAGATCATCTGTGTATACTGAATATAGTGCTCTTCAATTTTCGTTATTTTGGCTATCTCTTTGATAAGAGATCGCTTTGTGCCCACAAGTTTCCAAGTGGCATTGTAGAACATGAGGTTATTCGGTGCGAGCAATTCTTGCAAAGTCCAGCCCCGAGTCCACCAACGACAATCCCCTAACTTCATACTATCGGGGTTGAAGTCAGATAGGAAGACGTAGCAAACTGCTGCGTGCTCATACCACTTGAACATGGAGTTAATCGATTCAGAAAGCTCAGCGCTGCTCGACTTATCAATGCAGCAAGTATCTATCCACACATATTCCAAGTTGTGTTGGAGAGCCAAACGGCAGGTTTCCTTGATTTTGGCATACCCTTTTTTTCGAGTGACATCCACCATAGGCTCTGAACACATGTCACGAAAGGTGACCTCTTCATCCCCCCATGTATGCGATAGGATCGCATACCGCGGGACCTTAGAGCTTGACTGCTCAAACTCGTGAAATTTTATGGTTTGGGAGTTGATGAGCCTCATGGCGTAAATAAGAACCGAGTGTTCAGGATAGAGTAATGGTTGGAATTCACCACATACCGCGAGCAAGGAGTAAGAGAGGGGTATGTATGACCTGCCTGGATATCCACACAGCTATTTTGCGGCTGAACAGATATTATGGCATCTAGCGAATCGGAAAAAACTCGCTTACAGCTGGGTTTCCTAAAGTGCACCTCAGAGACACTTTCACGTTGCCAAGTGCTGTCGACAACAAAAACTGCTGCTGGTGAAACCAAAATTCCCTTGCTCAGCATTGGCATCATGATGATGATCTTTAGCGGGAAATTGGCGTTGGGCAAATCGAGCAGGATACGAATAGATAGTAATATTCAGATGTTCCTCTACATTAGGTAGAGATTTCTGTAATAACTGAATGTTGAATGTCTTGTTGTATTGATATCTAGTCTAGTACCAATGGTAAAGCACCTCCTGTAAGTAATTGAAGTGGGAGCAATGTAGGTAGTGGGGGCGGGGTAAATGCCTACGCAATTGGGTGCCGAGTGCCTACTTGTAGGTATCAGTAGCCGCTAGGTAATTTCTGCAACTTCACGTGTCTGTCGACGCGACTTGTTCTCAATTCATTCCCTAAAGCGCTAGAAGTTTTGACGATTTGTCGACCTCCTATTCATTTCCCTCGTTGCTCGTCAGTTACAGATGAAAGATTAAGCGCCGCATAGCCTCCCTTTGGCGCGATGGATCTCTCACCACCTGAGCTCTCTCCCCTCGAGCAGGAGGTGTTAGAGGAATACGAGCGACTAGCCGAGAACATGAAAAAGGTACCTGAGAATCCAATAGCTTCAGGATTGAAATATAACTCACGACTGACAACACGCTCTAAACAGCTCGCATCAGTTCTCGACACCATGGCCAGCCAACCCACGACTGAGATCCTGGACGGACTACGCGAGCTCGAGCGCAAGACGAGTCTCGTCTTCACACTCCTCAAGGCCAGCGTGTACAGCATCGTCCTGCAGCAAGAAATCGATTTTGGCGAGAACCACGACGGACAGCAGTCCTGATTCATGAAGATCTGGCTATACTCGCACCTGTGCGGACAACGCGAGCTTGAAAGCCAACGGGCATTACTTAGAAAGGCCTTAGTACGACACTATACTCAGCACCGACGAAAAGACCTCAATACTCCATCGCTATAAAGTCAAAGAGGCAAAAACTTCCCGGCAGACTATCTAGAATGGCTAGAGAAGTGGTCATTTCCATCCGCGTAGGAACAAGCAGAAGAGAATAGGAGAAGATGATTATGGAAGTGGCGAGAACAACTTGGGACGACAAATTACGACAATGTTACGTGCTCCAAAGCGAATTGCTATCGCGCGCAATATCCCGAGATGATCACTCATGGGACGGAATCGAAGATTCATGCTCCGACTACATGAGACATAGGAGGGGTGGGTGGTTGTGGTTCTCAACAAGTCCATTTGACCGGTCGCAAATCCTAAACTTCGAGCTACGAGAGGGCTCCCAAGGGTAGCTGATATTGCGTACGGTGCAAGCATCCATGTGAGACTAGAAATAGCTAGTTGAGGCGCTTGACCAGTGTCACCTTACAGCCTCATCCATAGCTTCTGCCCCAAAAGCGACAGCTAGATATCCATCAGATATATTGCGCAAACAAGCAGTACACCTGCACACCTGCACAATACGTTATTGAGTGTGCGGCTAAAGAGTTAGACAATATAGTTTATATACACTGGGTTGTATTGTTCTTTACATGCTTATGTCTTGTACAAATACACAGGTGAGATATTATATCGTGGCCCTTGGACGGCTTCTATAAGACATCACCGCCATAGTACACTTTTCGTACATCGACCAGCTTCTTGCCACGACCAATGGCAATCTCGCTAGGGTCTTTCTGGCTCATCAGGGCCTTCACGCATGCTTTAACTGAGTTCATGGGGTTGCGGCCGCGGGGCATCTTGGCCGCAATATCGCGGATTCCGGCGATGCGGAACATCTCGAAGAGACGGTGTGAAGCACGGAGACCGAAGCCTAGTCAGCAAGTGATTAGTTTACGTGGTATAAAGTCGGTAGCACGGGTTCGCGGAAGGCGGGGATAGCTTGTGAATATACAAAACTTACCAGGTGGCCGCGCCTCGAGCTTCACTATCGTTGCGCCGACTTTGGCCTCTACGGACCCAAAGATAGTTCGATCCTCGTATCGAGGAATCGGCTTCATGTTTAAGATAGCGAGTTGCTTGGCCTTAGCCATTGCGACAGGTGACTCGACTGACTTGGCCTCGCCAATACCAAAACGACCATTGCCATTTCCAGCGATAGCGAGGACCCAATGGCTCTGGACTTTGCCGAGACGGGTTTGATTGGTGACAAAACGCGAGACCAAAATCTTGGAAGCAAAGTGCAGCTTCTTGATATGCGATATGGTAAGACCCGTCTTCTTCTTCAAATCCTGGAACTCGCCCTCGTTATCCAAGCCCTGATCCTCGGGGTCGATGGAGGCCTTGTACATGCCCGAGACACCGCGGAGGTCCTTGCCTAGGCCCGGAGCTAGTGCAGTGTTCGAAGGCTTGTCGTGGTTTACGAGTGTCGAGTGCTCCTCGAAATACTTGGCAGCTGCAAGGTCAAAGTTGACCTTCTCATCCAGCACGTTCTCGATGTCCTCCTCTTTCATGCCTTCAAAGTTGACGTCCTTGGGTATTAAGTCTTCGATAACCTTCTCTAGATCGTCCGCGTGCTCTTCCTCTGACATGAATCTTATTTTCTCCGGTGGTGGTGCGTGGGGCTTGGGTCGTTTATCGACGATGGGCAGGACTTTGCTGAAGTCGTCGAGGTAGACTGGTCGGTAGGGGTCTCTGCGTATTCTCCCCTGTATCGTCAAGTCCTTTGGATTGATAGCGGCCTCACCAGCCTCCAGGGCTGCCATCTGCTCCGGCGTGTACCGTTTTCGTAAGACCTCCAACTCCTCTGGTGTGTACTGCGGGAAGGTGTCCTTGGTAAACTGTTCGATTTTCTCGGGTGTCACCAGACCCATCTCCTCAGCCCGAACGCTCTTGAAGCGCGGTTTCCGCTTTGCCAGCTGCGCTGAACTGTGGAACGGGGCGTGACATCGTGGTGCTGAGGTTGGCGCTGCTATTCGTGCCTTGGACCCCGTTGCAGCGAGCCCCCGCGAGAGCAGGCATCGCGCTGGGTGTGCTACGCTCATCGCGCCCCCGGCTGTCGTTTTGAAGAGCCGGCGAGTGGCTAGGATTGTTGACGAACCGACGATGACAGACACAAGCGCATACGCTGGGCAGTATCTTTAATTGCTGCAATTGGCACTACACTACCTACATCGGTGTTTTTTCTGGAGCTGCCAGCGCCGGGTTTTTTATTTTGCCGACCGCTGTAAGTTAGGTGGACGCCCCACATTTACCCATTAGCCCTCTAAGCTTTACAACTGCAATACAAACAGCATTATAGTATGTTCATATCAGTCTCAATGGTAGCTACTTATGAGCTCATTAATCCATCTTCGTTTATTTATCTATTAAGAAATCCGTTGATATCTTGGCTTATAACGACGTGCCCTCCCGTTTGACGTCCTTCAAGCGTTCAACCAGATCTTTTTATAAGAGAATCACCCTATAGGGTCCGCTCACTCCTAGTGACCTTGTTGTTAATGACTAAATCCCGCGTTTTGTCGCAAAGGTTCAATTACAAGCTATCTAATACTAATATATTCTCCTCCCTTACTATGAAACTATTGTTACTTCTCATAGCACCTCTTCTGTGAATTGAGCATGTCATCTCGCTCTATAGCAATTAATCAGGCAGCCATCGACACCTTGAATGCCTCCAGCGCCTCTCTCTCCTGCTCTTCAAGATTGAAATCATACAGAAAGTCCCACTTCCACTTCAGGGCCTTCCTCCAGTCCTCAATATTCTCATACTTCTCCTGACTGCACATAATATTACCAACCTCTCTACTAGACTGAATAACTTGTTTACACCTCGGCATCCTCGCCGACTCATATACTCGGAAAGCTTTGCTTATGTTTTTCGGATCCGTGATTCCATTCAGCAGGGCTGCGAGGATAACGCAATCCTCAAGGGCTTGCCCGGCGCCAGCACCTTGCCATGGCGTAGACGCGTGAGCAGCGTCGCCAATGAGACAGATGTTGTTTTGGCAGTACGCCGCGGTAGACTTGTGTTCATATTGTGAATATGCGTGAAGGGAAGCATCGGACAATAGAAGCTATGATCCCGTTAATGGTCATCCCATACTCTGAACTCATGAACCCCAGAGACGCTCACCTCAACTATACCGTTAGCAACGCCCCATTTCCGGCGCAAATTCTCTTTCTCTTGGTCTTCAAGTTTCCGCTTTCGATCGACCTGTCTCTCCCCTGCATCTTCAGCGCTTGAGATAATAGCTTGAACCATTGTTCCGCCTGCTACCAATGCATACAATAACATGGCACCATCAGCTGTGAAGGCATACTGTTGCCCAGGCCTCAAATACTCCTCGTCTACACTGCCGCGGACCTTTTCACTTGGAAACATTCCCCAGCAATCCCAGAAACCAGCCGGTGAGCTCTGGTCTTGAGCGGTAAGAATATGCCCTCGAACATGACTGTTGATACCGTCAGCGCCAATGACGGCGTCAAAATGATGAGTAGTGCCGTCTGAAAACGTGATAGCTACTCCAGCAGGCCCTTGGTCGATGGATGTCAACTGCATATTCGCATGCAATATTTTCTCAGGTAAATGTGCTAGGAGCTCCTTGAGTAGTGATGCTCGGGGAACCGAGATCCTGGGTTTCATATTCGGAATTTCAAACAGAAACTCTCCTTGATTCTTCCCAGAGCCCTAAATTTGTTAGTCAGCTTCTTGTCCACCGCGTTTGCCTCTTTGTCTTTTCCCCTCTCACTTACAACCATGACGCGGATTGACTCAGTTGGTACGGCTCCTGCTTTCTCTACTAGAGTGTCTACCGCCGCGGGCAGTATCCGTTCCAGTGCGGTCAAGGCGCTTCGAGACAGGCCTACCGTAGCACCACGCTCAGAGAACTCCTTAGACTCGTAAACTTCAATCTCGAGATTAGGGTTCCTTATAAGCAGGTTTGCAAGGCTGACGCCTGCGAGACCGCCTCCAATGATAGCTATGCGCATTATCTGTTCGATTACCTATGAATGAGTTAAGACGAGGAGATAATTCGCAGGTGGGAAAGAGTAGGACACCTGCAAATTGTGTTCAAAAAAATGTTTTACCATCCGAGTGGGACATAAGCAGCTGTTGGTTGAATTTGTTCGTTGCCTATGGGTACCTAGTAAACATGACCGACATAGACAACACTGAGGGCGGGGCAAACATTCGGCCCCCTTATTATACTGCACCATTGGTTCTGCAACATCTACCAACAGAACAATAAGCGGCAGATGGAGTGGGTGCAGTGCAACCCACGCATAATGACAATGAAACCGCGATCACGAATTCTAGAGTATTCGGTGAGCTTTCAATTTGCTCTACAGCTCAACAGCAGTCTCATAGGTAACGTGCTAGTGAGGGAATATAGCAATACCTAATACTGAGATGGAAGCGCGAGGTATATTGCCACCAAAGCCTTTTTTGGTACTGTTACATCACTAATGCGATACAAGCGCCTGTATGCAAACCTTCTAAGCTTAGGTAGGCCGCTACAAGCCCTTAGTAGGTATGCATAGCCGGTGAAGATGATGTTGATTTCTTGTATGCCTCGTCGAAATATTGAATTCACTTCACATAGAATCAGCCACTGCCTCAATGTATGTATTTAAAATATACCTTAGTTGCATCATTACCTCACTTTGCCATAAGGCTAGTAAATATTTCTTATTGCGTCAAAAGGCATCAATCAACTACCTTGCTATGTTCAGAATGAGAAATTGCGCTAGATAGCTGAAGAAGAGTATTCTGCTTGCCCGCTTCAACGGATCATCTAGGTATACGTGAGTTGTCAGAACAATTACCATTCTAGTCAGCAACAAGACGTATCAAACAGAAATATTCAAGCTATGAGAAGGATTAACGGAACTCAAAGCTTAGGTAACTAGATTATCGTCCGCGAACATAATACACGTACCGAACCAGACGCACGGAGTGCGGTGATGTCAGAAACCAGATATTTAGTTCAACGACACTCATAGTTGAGTAATGGTCTCAAAAACACTGTTCTAGGCTAGATCATAGCTATATACCGAAGCCTCCTTATCTCCCTTCGTAACAGCAAGCAATATTCATAGTGTTGAATAAAAATGTTTCATCGGAGTATGCTAACGATTTCCCCTTATCTCAGGCAATTCCATGCCCCATGCCTCTTCTTCGCTCACTTTCACTGGCTTTCGTGCTGAATGAATCGAGATACTATCATTCTTTGGGGGCTGCGAGTCGGCTGACGGGCGACGGATTGATATTTGACTGGCTTTGCTCTTCAGAAGATGAGCTTTGGACGAAGTGGCATTCCAAATGTCCTTGGTAGTTGACGCGAGCGATTCCCATGCGGGTATCCTCATAATAAAATGTAGGGTCGGCAAGTCCGCCGTCAATATTCCCACTGAGCATTCAACGACTCCCCAGTATAGCCCGTTGGTAATTACAACTTTTACTACGAGTTAGTGCTTATCTTCGGGGCGGCCAGAGCTAAAAGTGATAATTACAGATTGGATCGTCATTAGGATTGAAGCCATCTTGAGCAATTCTCGCGGTGAATACAAGACGGGTTAGAGACGCCGCGACAGCTCTGGACAATACATCAGTGTGATACACTTGCTTGATATCGCGCTAGCACTCACACAGCACCAAGAGAGAAGATGAGTATCATAGCAATCTTCCTGCGTCGAGAAAAATTGAGCCGCCATATCTTTTCTTGTGTTTTAGTAGAGGAATACAGCAGCTGGTTGATGCGAGTGATACTCACTAGAGGTAGTGGGATAACTATCACTACAACATCCGTGATAAAGTCTGTAATCGAGAGAGCGAGGAACAACTGTTTCGTTTGCACGCATTTCGTGAGGAGGTCATGAGTAGAGCGCCAGTAAGCATAGAAATCAAGCCGACATGCAAACAGCTGCGCGAGGAAGAATGCCGTTGTCCAGAGAGCAACAAAGCACATCATGCCAAGCAAGAATCTGTGTACCCAGCCGTTCCTGTTCACCGAAAAGATCCGTATGTAGAACGCGAGAAAGCTGGCTTTTATCAGCCCCAGGGTCAGAGGAAGCATTAGCAGGACAGCAAGTTGAATCTGCGGCGATAAAATTAGTACTTGCTTGGGAGGCATATTGGAGGCGCTTCATAGGACCTTACTTTTCCAGTCAGTGCTGCTTGGGGGGTCGCAGCTGCAAATGGATCTTCTTCGAAGATTTGAGGTACCTCAAAGCGATAAGCGATCGATTTGCGAGCTACGCCGTATATAAGCGTTATGCCCATGCCCAATGTTAAAACCTGTAGCAGTCAATTAAAGTCTTCGCTCCGTGTATCCTAGCATGATATTTTGAAAAGATACATCATCACGCACCGTAGCGAGTAGTATTAGCCAGTCATCCGCCTTCAAGCCATGCTTGAGCTTCCGGCGGAGATGAAACCGTAGTGTAAGGGCCAGTAGATCTATTACTGGGACGACGATACTTGCGGCGACGACATGGCCGGGTGTTTCGAAGTATTCCTGCTTAGCAGGCATTCTTGTGATCAACTGGCCTTGCAGCTCCTTTCGCTGTCCTAACAAAGGAATAATAGGAAGGTATACTGAACTCCGCGGGGGATACACAGAGTTGTTTTCTCTGTCTTCGAAAGACCACAGTCTGGCCAATGGTTTCAGAGGGAATGAATAGGGGAGCCTTGAGATATGTGCAAACCTCCCTAGACAAACGTACACGGGGATACGGCGGCTTCTTGAAGAGAGGTTCAGCAAGGCCTTTCTTCACATATGGCAACAAGAATTGAAATGCCGCTGCAGGTCTAGCATCACTCCACCTGCAATGGAGAACTATTGTGCACAAATGTGTGGCTCAGAAGCAATTGAGTCTCACGCCTAGGCAGGCGAACCAACAAGCTCGCCCCCATGATGCACCATCAGATGCGCCAGAAGCTTCCCTTCCTACCGCTCGTTGGTTTGGCTTGCAGCAGTTACCTACCTATGTAATCTTATGCTGCACGAACGTTACGCCGATCACCAACTATAAGCAAGTTACTAGGCTGGGCAAAGCTGGGTAAGCAATGCCTCACATACCAACTCCCGTACCATCGACAATTGCCCTTCTGTTAATTTTCAAGAGTGGCGGGCTCCGTCACTTAGTTGATTTAGCCAGTAAACAGCTAATGCGACATCAGGTCGCGACCCAACCTCGCCAACCAAAGCAGTCAGCAACCGCCGCCCCCAACCTGTGACAAGGCCTACTATCAGGCAACCTAGCACGGTCCAATCAATTATAATTCCCTTGGAATAGCTGTGTCCGCGTCCATTCGTTGGAGACGCATCAGGCGACTTATTCTTGAAAGGATTCATGCAATTGCCTATTCTTACCATTCTGCCTTGTTAGCTCTACGCCTTATTGTTGGGTCCTCGTGCAGACGCTGGCGACAACTACCATAGCGGGGGGGTTTTTTTTTGGGGGGGGGGGGGGGGGGGGGGGGGTTAAAAAACAATGCTGCCGGGTGTTGGTGATTTTTGGGGGTGTTTAAAGTGGGGCACCAAAAAAAAAAAAAAGCACAAAAAAAAAATA